CCTTCCCCTCCATGCCTTCCCCCTCCCATGCCTTCCCCTCCCATGCCTTCCCCCTCCCATGCCTTCCCCCTCCCATGCCTTCCCCCTCCCATGCCTTCCCCCTCCCATGCCTTCCCCCTCCCATGCCTTCCCCCTCCCATGCCTCCCCCTCCCATGCCTTCCCCCTCTCATGCCTTCCCCCTCTCATGCCTTCCCCCTCTCATGCCTTCCCCCTCTCATGCCTTCCCCCTCTCATGCCTTCCCCCTCCCATGCCTTCCCCCTCCCATGCCTTCCCCCTCCCATGCCTTCCCCCTCCCATGCCTTCCCCCTCTCATGCCTTCCCCCTCCCATGCCTTCCCCCTCCCATGCCTTCCCCCTCCCATGCCTTCCCCCTCTCATGCCTTCCCCCCTCTCATGCCTTCCCCCTCCCATGCCTTCCCCCTCCCATGCCTTCCCCCTCCCATGCCTTCCCCCTCCCATGCCTTCCCCTCTCATGCCTTCCCCCTCTCATGCCTTCCCCTTCCCCCCCTCTCATGCCTTCCCCCTCTCATGCCTTCCCCCTCTCATGCCTTCCCCCTCTCATGCCTTCCCCCTCTCATGCCTTCCCCCTCTCATGCCTTCCCCCTCTCATGCCTTCCCCCTCTCATGCCTTCCCCCTCTCATGCCTTCCCCCTCTCATGCCTTCCCCCTCTCATGCCTTCCCCCTCTCATGCCTTCCCCCTCTCATGCCTTCCCCCTCTCATGCCTTCCCCCTCTCATGCCTTCCCCCTCTCATGCCTTCCCCCTCTCATGCCTTCCCCCTCTCATGCCTTCCCCCCTCCATGCCTTCCCCTCCCATGCCTTCCCCCTCCCATGCCTTCCCCCTCCCATGCCTTCCCCCTCCCATGCCTTCCCCTCCCATGCCTTCCCCCTCCATGCCTTCCCCCTCCCATGCCTTCCCCCTCCCATGCCTTCCCCCTCCCATGCCTTCCCCCTCCCATGCCTTCCCCCTCCCATGCCTTCCCCTCCCATGCCTTCCCCCTCCCATGCCTTCCCCCTCCCATGCCTTCCCCCTCCCATGCCTTCCCCCTCCCATGCCTTCCCCCTCCCATGCCTTCCCCCTCCCATGCCTTCCCCCTCCCATGCCTTCCCCCTCCCATGCCTTCCCCCTCCCATGCCTTCCCCCTCCCATGCCTTCCCCCTCCCATGCCTTCCCCCTCCCATGCCTTCCCCCTCCCATGCCTTCCCCCTCCCATGCCTTCCCCCTCCCATGCCTTCCCCCTCCCATGCCTTCCCCCTCCCATGCCTTCCCCCTCCCATGCCTTCCCCCTCCCATGCTTCCCCTCCCATGCCGTCCCCTCCCATGCCTTCCCCCTCCCATGCCTTCCCCCTCCCATGCCTTCCCCCTCCCATGCCTTCCCCTCCCGATGCCTTCCCCTCCATGCCTTCCCCCTCCCATGCCTCCCCTCCCATGCCTTCCCCCTCTCATGCCTTCCCCCTCTCATGCATTCCCCCTCTCAGAGCCTTCCCCTCTCATGCCGTCCCCTCTCATGCCTTCCCCTCCCATGCCTTCCCCCTCCCTGCCTTCCCCCTCAGCTTCCATGCCCTTCCCCCTCCCTGCCTTCCCCCTCCCATGCCTTCCCCCTCCCATGCCTTCCCCTCCATGGGCTTCCCCCTCCATGCCTTCCCCTTCTCAATGCCTTCCCCCTCTCCATGCCTTCCCCCTCTCATGCCTTCCCCTCTCATGCCTTCCCCCTCTCATGCCTTCCCCCTCTCATGCCTTCCCCTCTCTGCCTTCCCCCTCATGCCTTCCCCCTCCCATGCTTCCCCCTCCCATGCCTTCCCCCTCCCATGCCTTCCCCCTCTCATGCCGTTCCCCCTCCCATGCTTCCCCCTCCCATGCCTTCTCCCTCCCATACCTTCCCCTCCCATGCCTTCCCCCTCCCATGCCTTCCCCCTCCCATGCCTTCCCCCTCCCATGCCTTCCCCCTCCCATGCCTTCCCCCTCCCATGCCTTCCTCCCTCCCTCCCATGCCTTCCCCCTCTCCATGCCTTCCCCCCTCTCATGCCTTCCCCCTCCTCATGCCTTCCCCCTCCTCATGGCCTTCCCCCTCTCATGCCTTCCCCTCCCATGCCTTCCCCCTCCCATGCCTTCCCCCTCCCATGCCTTCCCCTCCCATGCCTTCCCCCTCCTCATGCCTTCCCCCTCCCATGCTTCCCCCTCCATGCCTTCCCCCTCCCATGCCTTCCCCCTCTCATGCCTTCCCCTCTCATGCCTTCCCCCTCCCATGCCTTCCCCCTCCCATGCCTTCCCCCATCCCATGCCTTCCCCCTCCCATGCCTTCCCCCTCTCATGCGCTTCCCCCTCTCATGCCTTCCCCCTCTCATGCCTTCCCCCTCTCATGCCTTCCCCCTCTCATGCCTTCCCCCTCTCATGCCTTCCCCCTCTCATGCCTTCCCCCTCTCATGCCTTCCCCCTCTCATGCCTTCCCCCTCTCATGCCTTCCCCCTCTCATGCCTTCCCCCTCTCATGCCTTCCCCTCTCATGCCTTCCCCCTCTCATGCCTTCCCCCTCTCATGCCTTCCCCCTCTCATGCCTTCCCCCTCTCATGCCTTCCCCCTCTCATGCCTTCCCCCTCTCATGCCTTCCCCCTCTCATGCCTTCCCCCTCTCATGCCTTCCCCCTCTCATGCCTTCCCCCTCTCATGCCTTCCCCCTCTCATGCCTTCCCCCTCTCATGCCTTCCCCTTCTCATGCCTTCCCCCTCTCATGCCTTCCCCCTCTCATGCCTTCCCCCTCTCATGCCTTCCCCCTCTCATGCCTTCCCCCTCTCATGCCTTCCCCCTCTCATGCCTTCCCTTCCCCTCATGCCTTCCCCCTCCTCATGGGCCTTCCCCCTCTCATGCCTTCCCCCTCTCATGCCTCCCCCTCTCATGCCTTCCCTCTCATGCCTTCCCCTCTCATGCCGTCCCCTCTCAGCCCTTCCCCCTCCCATGCCTTCCCCCTCCCATGCCTTCCCCCTCCCATGCCTTCCCCCTCACATGCCTTCCCCCTCCCATGCCTTCCCCCTCCCATGCCTTCCCCTCCATTGCCTTCCCCCTCCCATGCCTTCCCCCTCCCATGCCTTCCCCCTCCATGCCTTCCCCCTCCCATGCCTTCCCCTCCCATGCCTTCCCCCTCCCATGCCTTCCCCCATCCCATGCCTTCCCCCTCCCATGCCTTCCCCCTCCCCCCCCCCATGCCGTCCCCCTCCCATCCTTCCCCCTCCCATCCTTCCCTCCCATGCCTTCCCCCTCCCATGCCTTCCCCCTCCCATGCCTTCCCCCTCCCATGCCTTCCCCCTCCCATGCCTTCCCCCTCCCATGCCTTCCCCCTCCCATGCCTTCCCCCTCCCATGCCTTCCCCCTCTCATGCCTTCCCCCTCTCATGCCTTCCCCCTCTCATGCCTTCCCCTCTCATGCCTTCCCCCTCCCATGCCTTCCCCCTCCCATGCCTTCCCCCTCCCATGCCTTCCCCCTCCCATGCCTTCACCCTCCCATGCCTTCCCCCTCCCATGCCTTCCCCCTCTCATGCCTTCCCCCTCCCATGCCTTCCCCCTCTCATGCCTTCCCCCTCTCATGCCTTCCCCCTCTCATGCCTTCCCCCTCTCATGCCTTCCCCCTCTCATGCCTTCCCCCTCTCATGCCTTCCCCCTCTCATGCCTTCCCCCTCTCATGCCTTCCCCCTCTCATGCCTTCCCCCTCTCATGCCTTCCCCCTCCCATGCCTTCCCCCTCCCATGCCTTCCCCCTCCCATGCCTTCCCCCTCCCATGCCTTCCCCCTCCCATGCCTTCCCCCTCCCATGCCTTCCCCCTCCCATGCCTTCCCCCTCCCATGCCTTCCCCTTCCCATGCCTTCCCCCTCCCATGCCTTCCCCCTCCCATGCCTTCCCCCTCCCATGCCTTCCCCCTCCATGCCTTCCCCCTCCCATGCCTTCCCCCTCCCATGCCTTCCCCCTCCCATGCCTTCCCCCTCCCATGCCTTCCCCCTCCCATGCCTTCCCCCTCCCATGCCTTCCCCCTCCCATGCCTTCCCCCTCCCATGCCTTCCCCCTCCCATGCCTTCCCCCTCCCATGCCTTCCCCCTCCCATGCCTTCCCCCTCCCATGCCTTCCCCCTCCCATGCCTTCCCCCTCCCATGCCTTCCCCCTCCCATGCCTTCCCCCTCCCATGCCTTCCCCCTCCCATGCCTTCCCCCTCCCATGCCTTCCCCCTCCCATGCCTTCCCCCACCCATGCCTTCCCCCTCCCATGCCTTCCCCCTCCCATGCCTTCCCCCTCCCATGCCTTCCCCCTCCCATGCCTTCCCCCTCCCATGCCTTCCCCTCCATGCCTTCCCCCTCCCATGCATTCCCCCTCCCATGCCTTCCCCCTCCCATGCCTTCCCCCTCCCATGCCTTCCCCCTCCCATGCCTTCCCCCTCCCATGCCTTCCCCCTCCCATGCCTTCCCCCTCCCATGCCTTCCCCCTCCCATGCCTTCCCCCTCCCATGCCTTCCCCCTCCCATGCCTTCCCCCCTCCCATGCCTTCCCCCTCCCATGCCTTCCCCCTCCCATGCCTTCCCCCTCCCATGCCTTCCCCCTCCCCATGCCTTCCCCTTCCCATGCCTTCCCCCTCCCATGCCTTCCCCCTCCCATGCCTTCCCCCTCCCATGCCTTCCCCCTCCCATGCCTTCCCCCTCCCATGCCTTCCCCCTCCATGCCTTCCCCCTCCCATGCCTTCCCCCTCCCATGCCTTCCCCCTCCCATGCCTTCCCCCTCCCATGCCTTCCCCCTCCCATGCCTTCCCCCCTCCCATGCCTTCCCCCTCCCATGCCTTCCCCCTCCCATGCCTTCCCCCCTCCCATGCCTTCCCCCTCTCATGCCTTCCCCTCTCATGCCTTCCCCCTCTCATGCCTTCCCCCTCTCATGCCTGTTGTGGACGTGGAACGAAATGGAGAGGTGGTAAAAAGAGGGCCCTCTTTTTTCTTCCGCCGGGTCACGTGGCTGCATTTGTCTGGTCCTATTACCAAGCCAGCAAGGGCGTGGGCCCACGCACCTCTCCATCTCGCTGCCCTTGCCGCCCTGCCTCGCGCGACCTGTGAGTCGACTCAAAGCGCGCCCCCATCTCTGCGTCGTAGTGAGCCCCACGCACCTCTCCATCTCGCTGCCCTTGCCGCCCTGCCTCGCGCGACCTGTGAGTCGACTCAAAGCGCGCCCCCATCTCTGCGTCGTAGTGAGCCCCACGCACCTCTCCATCTCGCTGCCCTTGCCGCCCTGCCTCGCGCGACCTGTGAGTCGACTCAAAGCGTGCCCCCATCTCTGCGTCGTAGTGAGCCCCACGCACCTCTCCATCTCGCTGCCCTTGCCGCCCTGCCTCGCGCGACCTGTGAGTCGACTCAAAGCGCGCCCCCATCTCTGCGTCGTAGTGAGCCCCACGCACCTCTCCATCTCGCTGCCCTTGCCGCCCTGCCTCGCGCGACCTGTGAGTCGACTCAAAGCGCGCCCCCATCTCTGCGTCGTACTGAGCCCCACGCACCTCTCCATCTCGCTGCCCTTGCCGCCCTGCCTCGCGCGACCTGTGAGTCGACTCAAAGCGCGCCCCCATCTCTGCGTCGTAGTGAAACTTTTCTTAGTGAAACTATGCTTGAGTTCTACAAAGGCAACCAACCACTCTGTCAAGAATTACTGCCATAACTCTGACCGTGCGTCCTACGCAATTCAGCTGTCCCGTAGAATAGCTTTCTTCGCAGGGAGAATGGGGCGGGGTGATGGAAAGCGGGAGAATGGGGCGGGCGATGGAAAGATGGAGAATGGGGCGGGGCGATGTAAAGAGGGAGAATGAGGCGGGGTGATGGAAAGCGGAGAATGGGGTGGGGTGATGGAAAGCGGGAGAATGGGACGGGGTGAAGAAAAGCGGGAGAGTGGGGCGGGGTGATGGAATGCGGGAGAATGGGGTGGGGTGATGGAAAGCGGGACAATGGGGCGCGTGATGGAAATCGGGAGAACGGGGCGGGGCGATAAAAAGCGGGAGAACGGGGCTGGGCGATTGAAAGAGGGAGAATGGGGCGGGGTGATGGAAAGAGGGAGAATGGGGCGGGGTGATGGAAAGTGGGAGAATGGGGCGGGGTGATGGAAAGAGGGAGAATGGGGCGGGGTGATAGAAAGAGGGAGAATGGGGCGGGGTGATGGAAAGAGGGAGAATGGGGCGGGGTGATGGAAAGCGGGAGAATGGGGCGGGGCGATGGAAAGCGGGAGAATGCGGCTGGGCGATGGAAAGCGGGAGTATGGGGCGGGGTGATGGAAAGCGGGAGAATGGGGCGGGGTGATGGAAAGCGGGAGAATGGGGCGGGGTGATGGAAAGCGGGAGAATGGGGCGGGGTGATGGAAAGCGGAGAATGGGGTGGGGTGATGGAAAGCGGGAGAATGGGACGGGGTGATGGAAAGCGGGAGAGTGGGGCGGGGTGATGGAATGCGGGAGAATGGGGTGGGGTGATGGAAAGCTGGAGAATGGGGCGGGGCAATGGAAAGCGGGAGAATGGGGCGGGGGGATGGAAAGAGGGAGAATGGGGCGGGGTGATGGAAAGCGGGAGAATGAGGCGGGGCGATGGAAAGCGGGAGAATGGGGCTGTGCGATGGAAAGCGGGAGAATGGGGCGGGGTGATGGAAAGCGGGAGAATGGGGCGGGGGTGATGGAAAGCGGGAGAATGGGGCGGGCCGATGGAAAGCGGGAGAATGGAGCTGGGCGATGGAAAGAGGGAGAATGGGGCGGGGTGATGGAAAGAGGGAGAATGGGGCGAGGTGATGGAAAGTGGGAGAAAGGGGCGGGGTGATGGAAAGCGGGAGAATGGGGCGGGGTGATGGAAAGCGGGAGAACGGGGAGGGGTAATGGAAAGAGGGAGAACGGGGCGGGGGTGATGGAAAGCAGGAGAATGGGGCTGGGTCATGGAAAGAGGGAGAATGTAGCGGGGTGATGGAAACCGGGAGAATGGGGCGGGGCGATGGAAAGCATGAGAATGGGGCGGGGTGATGGAAAGAGGGAGAATGGGGCGGTGTGATGGAAAGAGGGAGAACGGGGCAGGGTAATGGAAAGAGGGAGAATGGGGCAGGGTGATGGAAAGAGAGAGAATGGGGCGGGTGATGGATAGAGGGAGAATGGGGCGGGGTGATGGAAAGTAGGAGAATGGGGCAGGGTGATTGAAAGAGGGAGAATGGGGCGGGGTGATGGGAAGAGGGAGAATGGGGCAGGGTGATGGAAAGCGGGAGAATGGAGCGGGGTGATGGAAAGAGGGAGAATGGGGCGGGGCGATGGAAAGCGGGAGAATGGGGCGGGGCGATGGAAAGCAGGAGAATGGGGCGGGGTGATGGAAAGCGGGAGAATGGGGCTGGGTGATGGAAAGAGGGAGAATGGGGCGGGGTGATGGAAAGAGGGAGAATGGGACTGGTTGATGGGAAGAGGGAGAATGGGGCTGGGTGATGGAAAGAGGGAGACTGGGGCTGGGTGATGGAAAGCGGGATAATGGGACGGGGTGTTTGAAAGAAGGGAATGGGGCTGGGTGAAGGAAAGAGGGAGAATGGGGCGGGGTGATGGAAAGCGGGAGAATAGGGCGGGGTGATGGAAAGCTGGAGAACGGGGCGGGGTAATGGAATGAGGGAGAACAGGGCGGGGTGATGGAAAGATAGAGAATGGGGTGGGGTGATGGAAACCGGGAGAATGGGGCGGGGCAATGGAAAGAGGGAGGATGGGACGGGGCGATGGAAAGCGAGAGAACGGGGCAGGGTGATGGAAAGAGGGAGAATGGGGCGGGGTGATGGAAAGAGGGAGAATGGGGCGGGGTGATGGAAAGAGGGAGAATGGGGCGGGGTGATGGAAAGCGGGAGAATGGGGCGGGGTGATGGAAAGAGGGAGAATGGGGGGGGGGGGGCGAGGAAAGAGGGAGAATGGGGCGGGGTGATGGAAAGCAGGAGAATGGGGCGAGGTGATGGAAAGAGGGGGAATGGGGCGGGGTGATGGAAAGATGGAGAATGGGGCGGGGTGATGGAAAGAGGGAGAATGGGGCGGGGTGATGGTAAGAGAGAGAATGGGGCTGGGTGATGGAAAGAGGGAGAATGGGGCGGGGCGATGGAAAGAGGGAGAATGGGGCGGGGTGATAGAAAGCAGGAGAATGGGGCGGGGTGATGGAAAGAGGGAGAATGGGGGGGGGGGGGGGGCGATGGAAAGAGGGAGAATGGGGCGGGGTGATATAAAGCGGGAGAATGGGGCGAGGTGATGGAAAGAGGGAGAATGGGGCGGGGTGATGGAAAGAGGGAGAATGGGGCGGAGTGATGGAAAGAGGGAGAATGGGGCGGGATGATGGAAAGATAGAGAATGGGGCGGGGCGATGGAAAGCGGGAGAATGGGGCGGGGCGATGGAAAGAGGGAGAATGAGGCGGGATGATGGAAAGCGGGAGAATGGGGCGGGGTGATGGAAAGAGGGAGAATGGGGCGGGGCGATGGGAAGAGGCAGAATGGGGCGGGGTGATGGAAAGAGGGAGAATGGGGCGGGGTGATGGAAAGCGGGAGATTGGGGCGGGGCGAAGGAAAGCGGGAGAATGGGGCAGGGCGATGGAAAGCAGGAGAATGGGGCGGGGTGATGGAAAGCGGGAGAATGGGGCGGGGTGATGGAAAGCGGGAGAATGAGACGGGGTGATTGAAAGCGGGAGAATAGGGCGGGGTGATGGAAAGCGGGAGAATGGGGTGGGGTGATGGAAAGCGGGAGAATGGGGCGGGGAGATGGAAAGCGGGAGAATGGGGCGGGGCGATGGAAAGAGGGAGAATGGGGCGGGGCGATGGAAACAGGGAGAATGAGGCGGGGTGATGGAAAGCGGGAGAATTGGGCGGGGTGATCGAAAGCGGGAGAATGGGGCGGGGTGATGGAAAGAGGGAGAATGGGGCAGGGTGATGGAAAGCGGGAGAATGGGGCGGGGTGATGGAAAGAGGGAGAATGGGGCGGGGCGATGGAAAGCGGGAGAATGGGGCGGGGCGATGAAAAGCAGGAGAATGGGGCAGGGTGATTGAAAGCGGGAGAATGGGGCGGGGTGATGGAAAGCGGGAGAATGGGGCGGGGTGATTGAAAGCGGGAGAATAGGGCGGGGTGATGGAAAGCGGGAGAATGGGGCGGGGTGATGGAAAGCGGGAGAATGGGGCGGGGAGATGGGAAGCGGGAGAATGGGGCGGGGCGATGGAAAGAGGGAGAATGGGGCGGGGCGATGGAAAGAGGGAGAATGAGGCGGGGTGATGGAAAGCGGGAGAATGGGGCAGGGTGATGGAAAGAGGGAGAATGGGGCGGGGTGATGGAAAGTGGGAGAATGGGGCGGGGTGATGGAAAGAGGGAGAATGGGGCGGGGTGATGGAGGGGCTGGGTGATGGAAAGAGGGAGAATGGGGCTGGGTGATGGAAAGAGGGAGAATGGGGCGGGGCGATGGAAAGCGGGAGAATGGGGCGGGGCGATGGAAAGAGGGAGAATGAGGTGGAATGATGGAAAGCGGGAGAATGGGGCGGGGTGATGGAAAGAGGGAGAATGGGGCGGGGTGATGGAAAGAGGTAGAATGGGGCGGGGCGATGGGAAGAGGCAGAATGGGGCGGGGTGATGGAAAGAGGGAGAATGGGGCGGGGTGATGGAAAGCGGAAGATTGGGGCGGGGCGATGGAAAGCGGAAGATTGGGGCGGGGCGATGGAAAGCGGGAGAATGGGGCGGGGCGATGGAAAGCGGGAGAATGGGGCGGGGTGATGGAAAGCGGGAGAATGGGGCGGGGTGATTGAAAGTGGGAGAATGGGGAGGGGTGATGGAAAGCGGGAGAATGGGGCGGGGTGATGGAAAGCGGGAGAATGGGGCGGGGAGATGGAAAGCAGGAGAATGGGGCAGGGTGATGGAAAGAGGGAGAATGGGGCAGGGTGATTGAATGAGGGAGAACGGGGCAGGGTAATGGAAAGAGGGAGAATGGGGCGGGGTGATGGAAAGAGGGAGAATGGGGAGGGGTGATGGAAAGCGGGAGAATGGGGCGGGGTGATGGAAAGCGGGAGAATGGGGCGGGGAGATGGAAAGCAGGAGAATGGGGCGGGGTGATGGAAAGAGGGAGAATGGGGCTGGGTGATGGAAAGTGGGAGAATGGGGCGGGGCGATGTAAAGCGGGAGAATGGGGCGGGGCGATGGAAAGAGGGAGAATGAGGCGGGATGATGGAAAGCGGGAGAATGGGGCGGGGTGATGGAAAGAGGGAGAATGGGGTGGGGCGATGGGAAGAGGTAGAATGGGGCGGGGTGATTGAAAGCGGGAGAATGGGGCGGGGTGATTGAAAGCGGGAGAATGGGGAGGGGTGATGGAAAGCGGGAGAATGGGGCGGAGTGATGGAAAGCGGGAGAATGGGGCGGGGAGATGGAAAGCAGGAGAATGGGGCGGGGTGATGGAAAGAGGGAGAATGGGGCGGGTTGATTGAATGAGGGAGAACGGGGCAGGGTAATGGAAAGAGGGAGAATGGGGCTGGGTGATGGAAAGAGGGAGAATGGGGCGGGGCGATGGAAAGCGGGAGAATGGGGCGGCGCGATGGAAAGAGGGAGAATGAGGCGGGGTGA